GAAAAATATCACATGGGAGATGCACCCTCCCTCTATCTCTAAACTATACCCCTAGTGTATGTTTTGCTCTCTTTACACCATGGGTGGGAATGTACTTGACCTCTTTCTAAGCGATAAAGAGGTTACAGAGTTTGCAGTGAGAAATTCTTCACTGGAAAGTTCTGCTTCCAAGTATCTGGCTTAACGCTTAATGTTTTACCGTGATGGTATCCATGTGACTTGAGGGGTTAATATAAATCTCATTTTTGAAGAAGTGTCAAGAGATATTTTCTCTATCTTTTTTCCTTCTCAACAAACAGATGACAAGAGAATATGAAAAGGTGGCAACAGTCCTTGGGAGCATGCAAGCCTCAGCTCCAAATGCTGCTGGGCTGTAGCTGCAAGGGTAGGATGACATTCCCTAGAGGGTAAGGGCCTTGAAGGCCAGAGAACAACTGAAGCTCGTGCAGCTGATGGGAAAAATTACTTGGCAAGGACAGCTATTTAGTGGTAACAGAAGAATTTAAAGTGCAATTCTATCTGATAAACAACTACTTAAAATGGCCCTTGCAGCTCCCTGATTATTGTCTCCCATTCTAGGTCAAATGGGCTCAGCCTAGTAATAAAGCAGTTCCTAACTATCTGCACTGAGCATTCCCCTCAGACTCAACCTAGGAATTCTCTTGTCCATTATTATGGTAGTCAAAGGTCCTAAAGGCCAAGATAATTGGGACCTTGCAGAATTGGGACTGGTGGGGACCCAGCAGATTTTCATTTTTTATATATCAGTTATGCTAAGTCAAGCAGAATTCAGGTCTTGCTGAGATCCATTTCCTCCCATTATCTCTGCAGAGCTAAGATAAATACCAACCTCTTCTTCCCTTAAGTTCAGCACTCAGACTCCAGTACCCACAGGGAACAGTTCTGAAAGGGCCATTTGCTGACTCTTGTTTTTCCAGAGTAGAAACATGTTTTAACAGGAAAGGGGAGAACGGGAGCAGTGTCCACTGCCAGCAACAGACACAGTGCTCCAATCTGAGCATTCCTTAAAGTTTTTAGTAGCAGATGAAAAAGTAAGCAGTGATGCTCTCACAAGGTGAGTCATGGCAACTGTGGTGACCCTCTTTATGCCATTTAAAAGGTGACCTGATGCTGTGTCAGTGTCCTCTTGAGCCCCAAAGTATACCCCATCTATACCAAGACCTCTCTCAAGTCAGAAACCCCTCAACACCAAGCCTCAAAGAGTGCTGCTAGTGCTGGAATGACTAGAGATACTTTTGTGACCAGGAGCCAGCAATGAGGCAGCTCTGCTCTCTTCATGGGCATTGACCGTGAGCTGGATGGCACCGGACTTGCAGGTTGCCAGGGAACACGAACTCTGAACCAGATTCAGGCCAGGGGAGTCACTGCAAAAGTTAACGTGGCAGCTTCCAGGAAAAGGGAACATATAAATAAACCACAGACAGTGAAAATGAGTCAAAAGGGTCTCTGGGTTCCAACCCACCCATCCTCCCTCTCCAACCACAACAGCACAGCTGCCCAAGCTCCTTGCTGAAAGGCAGTCACAGTCTCAGGGCCTCTTGTGACAGAGGCTGGTCTCTGTGCCCTTCCTTGCCTAGCAGGCAGAGTCCTGTCTTTTTTGTGCAGAGCGGAGGGTAGGGAGGGTCAGAGCGATTTCCAAGTCACTTGCACTTTAGACCTCACTCTCCGTGGAGGGCTTGCGTTGGTGTTTCCAGCCCGTGTCTGGGAGTGAGCCACGCCGTTCAGGAGTGGCTGCTGCTGTGTTCACACTGCTGCATTCAGACTGTTCTTCCTGTAGCAGCTGCTCAGTTTCGGTGTCATCCAGTGAACCAGAACTAGCCTGGATAGAGACCGTGTCTGTCTTCATACAGACGTGGTCCCGGAGGATCCCTCCTCGAGAGCTCCGAATCTGCTTAAGGTCATCCCATTCGGAATCATCACTGGATAAAAGGCATATCCCCTCCACAATCTTGATCTTCTCCTTAGTGTAGCTGTGGTCAGGACCAGTCTAGGGAGCAGACAGATGAATGAAAATAATACATCTATGGAAAAATATGGCAAAGAGCAATGCAGAGCTGGAATGAAGACAGTGAAGCAGACAAAAAGCTGGACCTCAATGTAAACAGCCACTGGCTTTAACTGCCACAATGGCAGAACCCATTCTAACTTTCCCTTCAGTTCTTTACCACCCCTAGATGAATTCTTCCTGCAAGAGCTCTCATTCCAAATTCCATAAGACTTCAAATCATGGAAGGGGAATGAGGATGAGCTCGCTCCTCTAATTCAACTACACATATTCCCTGACAGCAAACAGTAAGAACACTGAACCTAAAAAGGAAGAAAAAACCCCACCAAACAAAATGGGAAGCAGGAACAGACAGAAAACCTCATGGTAAAAGTAGACAAGGAATCAAGTCTAGGTCTGCAATATATTTACATCTGAGTCATTCTAGATTTCCCTCTCAGGAAAGCACAGCTGGAATACCACTGTTGAATCAGAGTCTCATAGTGATACAGGCTAAAGGGACCACACTGAGATTAAAATAGTGAAATCTGCCTAACTTGGCTCACTTACAAATAAGGAGTATTAGAACATCTGATATATCCCTGAGTGGGAGGTAGAGGGAGTGGGGAAATATACATTTGGGTACATCTAGGAGCATCAGAATTCAGAGAAAAGTGGAAAGGATTTAGATTCCCAGATAAATAATCCTGGTTTATCCTTTGTAGGTAAGGCTAAAATGGCATGAAAGTTTGGGAAATCTATTGCATAGTAACTTTGAAAAACCAAGTCTGGGAAAACTCTCTCCTGCATAGTCTTGCTGTGATCCCTGCTAGAGGAACTAAGTGATCTAACAGATTATCATACATAGTCCTACAGAAATTATCTTTTTCAAATCTCATATACGGAGTATGAGTAGCCAAAGCCCAGACCAAAGAATCTGCCATAGAGAATTACTTATACTTTCTTGACAGACAGTAGAGCTGGTTTAAGGACATAAAAGTGGGAGGGGAAAAAAACCAAGAAAGAGCAATTAGTATGGGACAGCGCTTGAGCCACACAACAGAGCTTGGGTGAGGGAGGCAGGATCAAACACACAGAGTAGTGATACCTGACGTGAGGATGTGGACGGAAATCAGAAGAGGGAAGATGAGAAGCTATCTGAGTGATAAGAAAGCTTCTGAGGAAAAAAGAAAGGAGAAACTAAGTGCTGCAAGATATCATATTAAACCCTCTCCATCCTGCGGCCAGAAGTGTGGACCTCTGAGGGCCTTGAAAATGCTCTATTTAATGAGGGCTCTGGTTTTTAATCTATCCCACCCCTTCCAGGCAGTGCACAGCCAGGAGCCACATTTTTGTTACCAAACCCCTTCTGGCTGCCTGGTTCCCCTGGTGACTGTCCAAAGCAACCTTGGTGCAACAGTCACTAACTGAGACCTGTATCCAAGGAAGACAATTACAATTTACTCATGTACTCTGAGGGCCAGCAACCAATGCACATGAAATACAAGACACTTGTGTGAGTGGGAAAGAAGCAGAAAACTAAAGACAGGTCAAATTCACTACAGCTCACTGGGACAGAAGTGCTGCTGATCTCCATAGCAGTCTCAACAATTCATTGAAGCTGTTCTCCTATGTCCTAGAAGTAAATGCTGACAAGTTGCAATGTTTTCACATACTGAGGTCTGTAATACTCAACAGCAGCCTGAGCTGGGCTCTCATGTCCTTAGTAGCAGCTCTTACCTCTTTCTTATAGCACAACTGGTTGTACATGGTTGGTTTGGGAATCGATTCAATCTTCACCTCCTGGGTAGATGTCCGATATGAGGGATTACTGTAGGTTAGGTTCCCCACCCCAGGGTCCGTGAACTTGGACTTATTATGCCTAGAGGGAGAAAGCAGTCAGAAAAGACACGGGGTCCCACTGCCAGGATCCAAAGTTCCTGAGTGCTCAGCAAGTGGAAAGCTCCAGTAATTTTCACTTCCCTCAAAGAGGAAATGCTGGCTTCACTGGGCTCTTCAGCTACTAGTCCATTTACTAGCTACAAGTACAGCAAGGCACTGCCATGTAACCACAAAAGCTATACTGGGAGGAACTGGTGAAGTTATCTGGCAGAAAGCACATGAGCTCATACATCTACTGTGATATGAATTATCTCCCATCCCTGTCCATAACTTATGAGGTCTCTGCAGAAAATAAGGCTTCAGATAATAGAACCGTATTCTCAACACTTCAGAGGCACAGGATTCAAACCTTGCAAATAAAATCATCAAGCACTGCTTCCAATGGAGAACAAAAGGATTGTAAATGACAATAAAGAAAGATTAAGTACTTTCAGGAGCTTTCTTCTCCTACAACCCTAGAGTTTCCTATTGCCCAGGAGAGGGGGAAAAAAGATCACTTACCTATATATAATTAAAGCAGCAATAAGCAGCAAAATCAACAAGATGCTGAGAAGACCTCCAATAATGTAGCTGACATGCAGTCCTTCTCCTGAAAGTGAACACCAAGGGTAATTTATGCAATCAACTTTCACTGGATAATACTGACCTTGGTGTAATGCCTAATGTGGGGGGTTTACCCATACAGAAGTATGTAAAGCAAAATGTCAGCACATCAAGGTTTAACAGAGGACTTTGTTTGGCTTCATATGAAACCAAACATATTACAACCTTTCCTCCCACTCAGGCCTCAGCAAACCAAGGAGCATTGAGATCTCTGTAACAGTGTTTGAAAAGGAAGAGTTAGGTTACTCCTGCAGTGGGAAACAATTAGCCTAGTCAATCATTTTCAACTAAACACAAAGGGGACAGTGAAGAAGAGCATCATTAATGGGAAGAACCCAATGGATGATGTATAGGATGAAAGAAAACAGAACTATTCTTCATTCCAAAGTGTCATTTGGAAAAGTCTGTAGAGGCTAATAAATGTCTATGGCTGATGTTCATCCTTAGATGCACTTTGCTCTGCTCAGTGGGCATTTGAGTAATTAAAATCTGAGTTTCAGAAATCTGTATTTCAGACACCATGGACTGAATGCCCTTGGCACATCTGGAGGAACAACCCTGGTGGAGAGGAGTTAAAGAAGGGAACTCACCCATGGTTGCCAAGACTGCCTCGTTGGCATGAGTACACAAGCCTTGCCTAGCATCTTTGTCAGAGCAGCTGAATGACAGAAGGAAAAACAGTTACTGCAAGTAGAATCAACAGTATCAAAGGTATCAAAAAACAGAATGGAATGGGCTAGCACTGATATCCCTTCAATTTCCAGTTCAACAACAGACGTCTTTCTTTCTCTTCTTCAGTATTCTTCTGTATCCAGAGAAGAGAGGACCATATACACATTTATACAGGGGTGCATGCATGTATGTATCAATCATCAGTCTGCAATATCCTTATATCTAAGTCATTCTAGATTCACCTCTCAGGTACACAGGTGTACATGTGTATGTATCAGAAAACAAATTTCAGCATCTGTGCTGAAGCAAAAATCAAAACATCTCCGAGTCAGCACTAAGACATTTCTATCCAATGAATCACACTCAACAAAGTAGAAGTTTTGTCTTGTAAATAATTCAGCCATATAGTAGAACATAATTTTTTTCTGAGCTGTATAAATAGCAGGCTGTAGGGAATTAGCAGAAAAAAAGTCTCTTAACTACCTACATTGTAACTTTAAATATTAGAGCCGCCAATTTTCTGTTCTGCCCCAAGCAAGATATCCCATTGTAGCCAGGGCAGAAGCACTTCCTCAGATGTCTGGCTTAGGTCTATCATGTGTCAGTTAATTAAAGCAACACTCCCTTGTCCTCCTCTCAGAAAAGAGTTCTTAAAATTAGGAGTTCAAAAATCAATCAAATAAATGACACATGGCGTAAGGAGGATTTTAACACTTCAGCACTTCAGGAGGATTTTAACAGTCAGCCTAGACACAATTTCAACAAAACAGACAGAAAGATTCTGCACCTCTTTCTTGCCAGCTCAACAGTGTTCTGCATTCTTTGTTATAATGTTCCCCCCATTAAGAACATGAAATCTGGAGCTGGAATAGCCTCTTTTGGCTAGGGATAGGTACATTTGGATGATGACAACCAGAGGGGGCTTGCATGTGGCACCTTGCAAAAGCTGTGACTTTCACACCCCAGTTCCAAGAGAACAAGAGCACTTACTTTCCTTCCGCTGCTTCCAGAGACGTGAGAGGTTTGGTTGTTGAGGTATCTACTCTGCTGGGTGGTGTTTGACTTCTCTCCCTTACACTGGTTGGTTCAGGACCAGGAGGCACCACACCAGGAACTAGAACAACAGAGAAGAATAAGCAGGACCCCAACATTGTGGGACAGACGAATAAGTCTGACTAGCCATTTCTGAAACTCTCTAAAAAATTATATGAGCAGCTTTCTCATCTCAAACCCAGTCTGTCAGCAGAAGGCAGCTCCATTGCTCACAACCACCCGCCTCATTTCCAGTATACAACTCTGCATAAGACTTATACACTGGAGAGCCTCAGCTGCTCTGTTTGCCACTGCATAAGCAGTAGTAGTGGCTCACTTATGGAAGCTACTACCCAAGGGACACTCAGTAAACTCACTGGTAGAACAGGGCTGCCCATCTGGTTCATCTGGACATGCGCAGATAAAGTCAGAAGCCCTGGCAAAGCAGAGGTGAGTGCAGCCTCCGTTGTTCACTCCACAAGCATTAGTACCTGGAAGGAATAAACAATTTTCTAAATGTGTTGCACATGATCAGGGAGGAGATCAGAGCAACCACCTTTTTTCTTGCTCAGCCAGAGACAACTTCGTAGAAATCCAGCAAGTTACTATTTTTGGCACATGCTCTTCGTCTGACTGCTAACAAAGTGATGACAACAGCCAGATACTGATTGGATTAGGGCAGTCTTGAAATAAAGGCACTGGAAATCCTTAGATAAAAGCCCAGACAACACAGTTGCACAGATACAAAAATAAAAAGCTCCCATTCTTCTGTTTTAACACAATGTCAGGTGAACAACACAGAAAGTGACATTTGCTAATCAAACCTCTAACAGAACACCATTTAGATGCACTTGACTGAAAAGTCAGAGGTGGACAAGGAATGTGCTGAGGGAAGATGTATTAATAATCTGAGTATAAGAAAGGATGTTATCTTCACTTGACATCCATAGTAGCACAGTGGTTTCAGAGTTCCTTTTGTCTACAATTAGCATTTGCCTGAATCAAGGTCCTCTCATTTACCTGTCTGCCTCTGAGGGGAAACCACAATGATATCCATCAATCCCTCAACATTGGCCAAGACTGTCTCTTTGTTCCGTCCAGAGTACTTGTCCACTCTTTGGATAGATTTCGTCTGCCAGTCAGTCCAATATATCCATCTATCCTGCTGCTCAGGGAAACAGCAAAGAAAAATCATAGCTGTTAGCATGTTTAGCCGTGTAGACACAAGATACCCATAAAAAAAACATATCCCAGTGGCAGAAGGCCCAAAACAAAGGCCTTTTCAAACCCTTACCCTCTTATCATAAAGAAGATTACTGTCTACACCCCACAGGAGTTCAGACAAACTTCCTTTGTTAGCTCCAGAGAAGATATAAGTACTCCCCTCAGCCATCTTGGTTTCCCCAGGCTATAACACTTCCCCGGCCCCAAACTCCACTGTGCAAACTCATCAACACACTATGGAGAACAGCGGCAGTGGGAGAATCTTCTCACCTGTGTCAGAGCAAAAGGATGTGACACCTGGCTGACCAACACTTGCCGTAGCTTCCCATTGAGATCACAACTCTCTATGCGATCAAGGTGTGCATCAACCCAGTATATTCTGAAGGAACAGAGAAAGAGATGAGCTTCCATCTATGCAACCCCTCTTCACTCTCTAGTCATTCACTAGCCAAGATCATGGAATCATAAGATGGATCAGAAAAAAACCACAAAAAAACCAACCCAACAAAAAGCAAACCATCCCTAAAACAAACCCAAACATACAGTGCTACTCCAATAAACAAAGCTAAGAGGGCTAAAAAATTCATTACATCCCTTAAACCTATGCAAGTATAAGAAAATCTTTCACTGACCTCCTGGTGTCATAATCCAAAGTCAATCCATTGGGCCACCCTAGGTCAGTGTTAATCAGGATTTTTTGTTCAGAGCCATCCAAGCTTGCCCGTTCAATTTTAGCAATGTGACCCCAATCTGTCCAGAAGAGGTACCTGAGAAGATAAAAGGAAGAATAAAAGATCATTTCATTTATCCTAATGAAAGTTTCAGTTATGAATGAAACGGCCAGATTCTTTGGTTCAAAAAAGATAATATGGTCTGTAGTCTGGTTCTCAGACTTCAAATTCACCATCTGCCTGACTATATGTCACTTGGAGTCAGCCCCTTGCTGGTACCTGCAGATTCACATGGTACATCTCTTCTTGCTTCCACAACCTCCTCTTCCAATCTGCCTCTGTACAGCCCTTCTCCCTGCCCCACCAATAACTCCATACCTACCCCTTCTTGGGAAAGACAGCAATGGCTCGGGGCTCATCGAGGCTGTTATTGATCAGCACTTTCCTGGAGCTTCCATCCAGTCTGGCTACTTCAATGGTATTGCGTCCTGTGTCTGTCCAGTAGAGGTTCCTGGCAACCCAGTCCACTGCCAGGCCATCCGTAGTCTTCAAACCCTGACCAATAACAGTTTCCATGTTGCTGCCATTCAGATCAGCCCGTCTGGATGGAAACAAATGACAAATGGCAGTGAGGAATGGGTAGCTCCTGGAAAACCTTCACATCCCCATATGTTATCACCATCAACCGCAGGGCCACTGCATGCTCCGACTTCCCTAATACCTTTTTCCCCACAGTCTCCATTACGTTAAACACACCTTCAGCATTTAGTTCAATGACAACATACATCATATGGTGTAGCAAAGCATCTCATTCTACCCAATTTACTGGCACACTCACTGTATGGCTCACCGTGCCACAATCAGCACAAGTTGCTGGGTGACCTGGGCACTGGCCGAGCAGATAACTCGTACCTACCTGATAACATCAAGAAATACATCTGTGTAGTAAATCTTGCCATCCACACTATCATAGTCCAGAGAAATGACATTGTTCAGCTCAGGAACAGGTATGTGCACATCTGTGTGGTCACTGGTGTCCAGCGAGATACGACGGATGGAAGCACGGCTAGAGAAAAGTAGGTAGGTCTCTGGAGAAGAGTCACATGTCTGCTCATCTCTCTTCAGCTGGATACCAGTGGGGCAGGCACAGGAGAAACCAGTGGGATGAGGCAAGCAAAGGTGGGAGCAGCCACCATTACGAACTCCGCATTTATTGAAGCCTTTAGAAACAGGGAAAGCATAGTCTAAGGATCCCACAGACCAAAGCTTTATATTAAAGGCTACGTACACACACAACTTGGTAGTAGCTGAGTTCATCCTTACCATCCCAGCCTTGCTGGGAATCTACAGCCCTTCATACAGAGACACTCTCCCTTCCTCTCCGAGATTCATGGCTGGCAAGGAGAATAGGAAGGCCCAGAAGAAGAGGAATCACTAAATGCAAAATCTTGACCTGCATTCCTTGCAAATCATAGTTTTCCCATGGAAAAAGGAACAGCCAAATGCCCACAGATTCATGCAACTGCAGTTTAACTTTATTACAGCTACAAATGGTAATGCTGACAGAAAGATCCAACCCTGTGGGGAAGCAGTGTGACAATGCACCAGAGGCCAGGCTGACAAAGAAGCTTCTGTTTCAACTTAGCTGCACACAGTGGCAAGTAAACAAAGGCATCAGAGAAGCCTACTAAAAGTGCCTGACGTATTAGGGTCATTTTTTTTAATTGTAAAAAACCCGGCATACTACTTTACTAGGAGGGAATGAGCTCAGAGGATAGGTGCAGGGAGTGGGAAGAAGACAATGGGGATACGATGGCTAGACTTTTGGTCAGCTTTAAGTAATATTGCAAAGTTACACTGTAAAGAGTGATGTTCTGCTGTTAGTAACCACAGAAAAAGCAGCACAGTTTTCTGTAGAAGTACATTGGGGAAATTCTACCAAAACAAAGCCAAAGCACAAAGCAACAACTTCCACTGAAGAACAAGGAGGCAAGATGGGGTTGTATAGGATCCCCAAAGAGTAACAAAGAATTGACTCTGTTACAGAAGAGTTGGAGAGCAGGATATATATTAAGAGCAACTAAAGCTGTAGAGATTTTGCAAAGCAAAGTGGCAGACAGGAAGATGAAGCCTGCAATGACTTGGAAAAAATACCAGAACTTGAAATACGATTTCAGCAACCAGTTTAAGAGGAATTAGTGTCTTTTGGAGTTATAAAAGGGAAATTGTCCAATACCAGTAGACTCTGGTGAAGCCTAATAGGGCATAACTCATTCAGTCCTCCTAAGAAAATGACTCTACTGTGTGTGAGAATGAGGTTGTCAG